GCCTTTTCATACTGGGCTGTTTTCAGAAATCTGTGGACAGGCATGGAAATGTGTGGAAGCAAGCCTGTGTCTGCATAGTGGGGAGGAAAAAATCCACCATTCTGGTTGTGACAGAGGAGGCTTAACTGAGAGTAGTGAGAGTTAATTCCAATAAAGAGAAGCACTCTTCAGTCTTTGGAGACCTAAAGCAAAAGCAGTTTGGAGCATGCCCATACAGCAGTGACTTGGAGATAAGAAGTCACAGGATGGCTATCCTGAGACAATCAAATTTCCTTTTAAAATACAGGTGAAAAAACTCCAGCTAATCGGGAGCATGGTCGAAGAAAATACAGCTCTTCACATAAATGCAGATATGCAATGTCCAAGACTGGTAAAACATGCCAGAGGACAGGGAGAACAGTTTCAAGTGAGCCTTCTTCTAACAGTAACAATTGTTTACCTGTCAGTCCTATCAGTTCCCTCTGCATTCAACTGTCCTTTTATACTCCTGGAGTATCTACCTAGTTAGCCGTCTGCTTCTAAATGGGTCTCTGACACCTCTGTTATCCTCAGTGTCCTTCTGCTCTTCAATCAAGTCCACCTTAACAGAAACACCCACTCTGATCCCGGGAGTCATCCTCAGACACTATCTTGAGGTTGTTAAGTATTTCTACTTGAGTGATCCTGAGACCAAGTGATGATCAAGACAAAAGGTAGCCCTGAATGCTTAAGAATTCTAGGATGAGTAAAGTGGTGATTTTTTATTCATTATTCAGCGTCCATGCTTTCAAGAATCTTGGCTTCAGCTTTCTTTTAAAATACTGTCCTTTTCCTTTGGAAAATCTCAGTATTAGACTAGTAATGAATGTTATATACCTGCAAGTAGTGATGTATTTTGGGCTACTGGCAAAACCCTGAGAAACCAGGGAAATTGCTGTAAAAATATACCAGGGGCATTGATATTATTGACCAGCAATGTTGCATTTTCTCCTGCCTGCAGTGTTACATAACCAGAAAAAAACCCATAGCTTTTCTTTCTGGAATGATTGAGAAGTCCCAGTTGCAATGAAGACATGATAAAACACTTTCCATAAAATTCTGTTTTGTTTCTTAATGAACACAATGCATTCAGAAAATAGACATATTTTTACAAGACTTGCCTGGTACACTTGGTGTTAACATTGCTGGTACCCCATAACTATCTCCCATTTTTTGTTGCTGCTAAATGGAGTTGCTTGCTGATGGAATGCCAAGTTTTGCACTTAAAAAGAGCCTTGCTAAGTTTTGTATGGAGAAAAACACTCTTGTACTGATGAAATACTATACTTTTAACTTGGGAAAAAAGCACCTAGAAAATACTTGCTATGCCATAACACTCTGAAACATACTTTATAACAAAACTATCAAAAGCACCGAATTCTTCCAGCTGGCAAAAGTCTCGGTAAACACGTCTCTTTGACAAGGTTTTCTTTTCAGAGTCTGGCACGCATGGGGGAGGGGATCTGCAAAAAGGAAATTTGTGATTCTGTGGTAGAAGGAAAGCCATGAAAGAGGAAGGGTGAGCTAAGGTTACTTGGCTGGATGTCTTGTAACAAATGTCTCCTCAGTGTCACCTTTATAGTGAGAATTACAGTGGAAGATTGATCATTATCTTGGGCAAAAAAGAGAAGAAGGAAATAAAGAAATATGGAAAAGTCTTCAGATTTTGGAGAGTATTGTGAGGAAATATTCTACAGATTTTAGTGGACCATAACCTATATGTCCTAGCAGTACCGACAAGCTACTTCTCAAGAAAATCCCTTCTAACCCAAACGATTTTATTATGCTGTGAAAATAGTGTTTCTTAATAAGTGTTTACCACATACCTTCACTATACTTAACTGCTTCCTGACTGTGTACAGGACTCAGTCCCAAAAGCCATGAAAGCAGAGTTTACTGTTCTATTCCACAACTTCCTCAGTCTGCCCTGTGAAGAAACATAGGCCCCTGAGTTCAAAGAACAGGAAAGCTGTGAGAGGAAACCAATCCACAAGGGACAAAAATAGGTAAACCCACCTGTTTAACATTGTGAGATGTTAATACTGGTACTCGGGGTAGCAGAGGCAACAAGCATTTATCTTCACATTGGCACTACAGTTGAAAAGCTTCCTACACAAATGCAACACTCTGGACACACTAGAATTTCAAGCAGAGAAAAGTATACAGGATGTCTGATCATTTTCTATGTAGCAAGAATTGCTATGTGATGATGCAGGGGGGTTTATTGGTTAGAAGAAGAGCTTAGTGTAAAATAATCCCTATCAGAGGGACTTGAGTCAAAAGGCTTTTAACTGGAGGGCGGCTATGTTACAAGGCACAATGTTAAAGTCCTTTTCTGATTTTTCATCACACTTTTCAATTCCTAGAAAATGATCAGTCCCTGTGAATAGACACCTCTCCCAATCTATTGTCAAAACTCAGCTCATGCTTTCTGTTTAGTGAAAAGTTGTACCTATTCTGTGTGTTGGTTTCAATAACACAGAAACAAAGAACAGCATTACATGAATATCAGCTCAGCCTCATGTTTTTTCTTCGAGTTTTATCTCCTAGAGTTGTTCAACCTAAATCCATTCTTCCTCAGAGATTCCATTCTTGCTTTCGCTGTAGTAAGGCAAGGAAGTAAGTAAGCAGTCTTTGGATCTCTCTCCCTTCTAGACATATTTGCCAGCAACAATCAACATAGGCCAAAAAAAGCCAATGTGGTCTTGCTGTAAAGCCACATATTTCATTCAGAGGGATTTAAACTGATGATGATAAGTGGAAAAGCCACGGACACAAAAGTTCCTCTTCTTTACTCGCCTCAGGATCATTTTGCTGAATGTAGAGAGGACCAGCTAAACTATGTCCTGAGAAAAAGGGCTTAGACAAAAACACCAGACTCAACATACCACTTACATTTTATATACCTGTATTAGGTGTTTGTGCCCAGGTGCTGACAGTGGGGACTGCCAGATGACCTCTGTGGAGAGCAGCCAGGGCTGCCCCTGTGCCACACATGGCCAATTCTAGCATGCTCACACACACCCACTGTAGGGCACGGCTATGCCCTGCAGCCAAGGTGGTTGCACCTCTGGGAAAGTGTGGGAATGAGGGGAAAAATGTGAGAAACAACCTTGTGAGCACCAAGGTCAGAGAAGAGGGATAGGAGGAGGTGCTCCAGGCACTAGAGCAGAGATTCCCCTGCAGCCCATGGTGGCCTGGGGAGGACCCCATGCTAGAGCAGGAGGACATATAGTGAAGGAACTGCATCCCATAGAGAGCCCAGCTTTTTTTCCTGAAGGAACTGTATCCCATCAGAAGGACACATTTTGGAACAGGGGAAATGTGTGAGGAGGAAGAAGCAGCTGAGAGGAATCATTGCAGACTGATCACAAACTCCCATGCCCCATCCCTGTGCACTGCTCAGGGGCAGGGAGGAAGTGGAGGAGATGCGAATGAAGGAGGAATTTGAGCCTGTAAAGTTGAGGGGGCAGATATTATTTTAATTTTTGTCTTTGATCTATTTTAAATGGCAATAAATTACATTATTTTGCCCCAAGATGATTCTGTTTAGCCTGTCACAGTAAGTGGTAAGTGATCTCCCCGTCCTTACTTCCACCCATAAGAATTTCGTCTTATTATCTCCATCTGTTTTGTTGAGGAGAGGGAGTGAGAGAATGGTTGGATGGGTGTCTGACAGCCAGAAAAGGTTGACCCACCACAGTAACTAAACCCAGGACTAAGACCATTTGCCTTCCCAAAACAAGGGGAAATATTGTGGAAAATTCCCTTTTCCTCAAGATACAGTGTTAGAGTAAAGCTAAGCATGACATTCCCTCCTCTTTCCTTTTCCTCAACAATGAATGTGAAAACATTTCCTTTGTAACTGTAGTGCTACAGTCACATATTAGTTTTTACACTCAGAAAAGCAGAAAAGTTATGTGGTGTTAATAGATCTCTGAATCACATTCTACTATGTCTTCATTCTGAATTTAACTACTTATTTCACAGGTAGGAGGAGATGAGTTATGAAACTGGTTTAAAAGGCCTGAAATTCACTTTCTGCTTTCTGTGACTACATTCAGGAGCAAAGGTTAGCAATAAACAACCCCTGACTTTGTTAGCTTTCACAAAAAACATATGGAAGAGAAGTTCTGAAAAGAGATTGATCACTTCTCTCAGGAAGAGACAACCGGAGAGAGGACAAAGGAGGCTATATAATAAAGTCCTCATCTCTTTTTCCCTGTGGAAAAAAACAATACCTCACAAAGATGCAGCTATCTCTACATTTCCTAATTTTTAACACAGGACTGTGGCATAAAAACTTAAATATGTAAGGACATCTTCTTATTCTTTTTTCTTTATTTTTCTCTATGTGGGAACTATGTGAGGCTGCACAGGGGAAGCCTCTATTGCTGCTTTCCTTCTCTAGTTATTTTAGGAGTCCTTTGGAGAAGACATAAATGTTCATCCCTATGTAGCCATAAGGCATGAACTAGTTTTCTAATAACAGGCTTACTGATTACAGAATTAAAGTTCTAGTTTCTTTCATTTTCAATCCTCTAATCCTATATCCTCCATATACACAAAAATATGAATGGAATGCCAATGTGCAGCATGTTATTCCTTACACAGACACAAAGATAGAATCAAAGGGTAATTGTGTCTGTATTGTGTGTCTCAAATGCTTGGCCTAGGTTCGAAGCAAAAAAAAACTTCTCAATATATATACTGATTCACATCAAGTATGAGATGTATTAAAATCCTGGTTTCAATTAGTGTCAATGATCTTTTAATGTGAAGAGGAGAAATATTAGCACTTTGCCATGAATGGCAAGAAAGAACTCATGCCCTCTCCATTCAAAGGAAATTTCTGAGGTTACAGATCATTGCTATAGAAGTTCTATTCATTTTGATATCTGATTGCTTTAACAGGACATATATATATGTAATTCAATACCTGATGTTATTTTATCTCTTTCTCTTCCTCTCTTTTTTCTCAGAACAAATTATGACATCGACATCTAAAGGAATTTTCCGGCCATTTTTTATTATCTTCATTGTCCTTGGTTGTTTCATGGCATTTATATTAATTTATATCAAACCAACAAATAGCTGGATTTCTGGTCCTATAGAATCAGCCAGTTCAGTTTTGAAAATGAAGAACTTCTTTTCTTCCAAAACTGATAATCTTAATGAAACTACTGTTTTGATCTGGGTTTGGCCATTTGGCCAGACATTCGATTTAACATCCTGCCAAACAATGTTCAATATCCCTGGGTGCCATCTGACTATTGACCGCTCGCTATATAACAGATCCCATGCTGTTCTCATTCATCACAGAGACATTAGCTGGGATCTGACTAATTTACCTCAGCAAGCCAGGCCACCATTCCAGAAGTGGATTTGGATGAACTTGGAGTCTCCAACTCATACTCCACAGAAGAGTGGCATTGAACACCTATTTAACCTGACTCTGACTTATCGGCGCGATTCAGATATTCAGGTGCCTTATGGCTTCATGATGGTTGGTACAAGTTCCTTCACATTTGAAGTACCAAGTAAGGAAAACTTGGTCTGTTGGGTTGTAAGTAACTGGAACCCCGAGCACGCTCGAGTCAAGTATTACAATGAGCTTAGCAAATACATTGAAATCCATACCTACGGACAAGCCTTTGGAGACTACGTCAATGACAAAAACTTGATTCCAACTATCTCCACTTGCAAATTCTACCTTTCCTTTGAAAATTCAATCCACAAAGATTACATTACTGAGAAACTTTACAATGCTCTTCTGGCTGGATCAGTACCAGTTGTACTGGGCCCTTCCAGAGAAAATTATGAGAATTACATTCCAGCAGACTCTTTCATACACGTGGAAGATTTTCTCTCCCCCAGAGAGCTGGCAGAATATCTTTTGATGCTTGACAAAAATAACAAGATGTACCTTAGTTATTTCAACTGGAAGAAGGATTTTTCAGTGCATCTTCCTAGGTTCTGGGAATCACATGCATGTCTTGCTTGTGATCATGTGAAAAGACACCAGGAATACAAGTCCATTGGAAATTTAGAAAAATGGTTTTGGAATTAATTTGTGTGTGTGTGTGTGTGTGTGTACTTTTTTGAAGAAGCCAGAAGGAACTTCAGTTCAAGTGGAGAGGAAAGGAAAAGAGAAAAAAAAAAAGGAAGGAAAAGAGAATATTTTGTCATGGTTTATCAGCTGTTCCCTCTTGGCTATCCTATTTATATTTTGTAAGAGATTTTAAAAGATCAGCAACAGTAGTCATCAATACTTAGTTTCAAATCATAATAGACATACTAATTATGTGCACTGAAGAATATTTGATTGTTTATTGTGAATTTAAAACAAAATTTCCCACATTTTCCGTGAAATATGTCCCAGTCTTACACTCCAAGTAGTCATTTTTAACAATTGTTTTTTATTTTTAACATTACATTTGCTGTTCAACCTATTTGGAAAATGAGGAAACAATTTTTAAATGCCAGAGAAAACTTTAAGAACATAATTTGCTGTTCCAGTCTAAAATGTGTGTAATATATCAAAAGACAGTAAAGTTTCATGTGTTCATTTTACATTTTAAGAGCACAGTAAAGTACAATACCTACCATTACTGAAGTGTCATTAACTGCCCCCCTTTTTAAGGGTAATGAACTATAGTTTTTTAAAGGTATTAGAATAGTAGACAGTTTTGGTTTCTAAAAATAAGATGTTTCCTAACAAATAGTCCCATTAAGTTGCTTGAAGAATATATCTGTTCTTACCCTCTGAAGAAACAATGTCAGACACAGAGAAAATGACCAATCTTAGAGACCAAAGCCCAGATTCATCCAATTTTTGTTTTCAAATGCAGCATGCCCTTGAGCCCCATTGTGTCTCAAGTATTATTAATGTGAACCAGGGCTCTAAGTGGTGTTACATCAATACAGAGATAAAAGGATTTTAATAAAGGTGTTTGATTACATCAGCCTCATGAACTGAATTCAGCTGGTAATAATGGATTTTTGAAATAGCTTGCTGAGAAATTTTAGGAATTTCTCTCGTATAGTTTCTTGAATAATAGTGAATTTTTCCCCAATTCTGTAAATACCTGTTGAATGTTAATTGTAGCAGAAAATGTGATGTTATGACTCATGAAAGGGGGATAAAATGACTAAACAACTAATTTTCTGAAAGAAATATGTTCAAATTCAGTAAATAAGCTATCAGGCTGACATATTCAACCTTTCAGCTTACTATACTAATGAATTTTGGGGTCTGAGAATCTTTTATATGAAAAAATGCACTATTCAGAGCAGCAGTTTGCTATCAATATTTGATAATATGAGTAGGCTCTTAAGTACTAAATTTGCTCTAATAGCAAATACGAAATTGTGGTTATTGTCATGATTGTTTAAAATGTCTGCTTTTAATGTGTCATTTGATTTTAATCCTTCTTTATTTCAGCTAAGACATGAATATATGATTGCCATATATATTTATACGTACAAGGTTGGTTTAATGACATAAATGTATGGATATGTTTTGGTATCAAATGAAAGCCAGTTAGCTTGGATTTTCAGGTCAAAGTGCTACAGGTCACACCTTCTACTGGAAAAAAAGAAAAAAATTCAACTGGAAAAGCTTCAGCTTATGAGATGTATAAGAACCTGATCAAGCACAGTAGTTTATCAAATACCTAAGATTAAACTTGCAGACAGCAACATTGCTGAAGTAAGAAAATAAGGGATAAAAAATTATAAATATTTAGCAAAAGGTAAGGTGACTTGTCAGATTTATTTTTTCACTCCAGGCTGGAATAAAAACACAGAAGGCTGTAAGAGTAATGTAATTAAATTTCTAAAACTCAAAACCCCATGGAAAAGTGATAGAATCACTTCTCCTCTCTCTATGGCTTCAAAAGCTGTATTCTAGTCCAGATATTTGCTTACACTATTTATTGCTTTCTTTAAAAGCTAGTTTTCAGTAGGATGTGAATCACCAGCATTCCAGAATGAAAAAAGATGAGCTTACATTGAAAATTAATGCAATACAACGAAACTGAATCTTCTAAAAATGAAGTGTTGACATGGATGTAATGTGAGTAATATTTTATCATTTCGAAGGCAAGTGGCTATAGTTCACAGTCTATCCTAGATGGAGAGGACTGAAAAATTCTGTCACTGAACATACCACTGGTTTGGCTCAATAACCTGATTCCCTCAGTGTGCTGGAATTCGGAAGTTCTTTGCACTGATCTCACTGGAAGGTGAATGTGCACAATCCTTAATTTCATTCTTCATTTCAGATCATGGGAGTTATGCTGTGTAAGTCCTTAGGTCAAATCAGATTGGTTTCTTGGCAGCAAGTTCAGCTGCTAAGTTCTTATAATAATAACAAGCAAGCAAAATAAGATACATGACTCGTTGCTACAAATATGGATTAGTGTATACACAGGAAAGTTTTGAAATATACACTGAGTTTTAACACTGTAAGTAATGTCTTTACCTCTCTAAGCACAGGATCCAGTCAGTATGGTTAATCTTCGGCTGAATTTCAAGAAGTATGAAAGTCTTTTGATGGAACTGGAAAGAGAGTTGTTCTCTTCACAGAAACTCCACACAAGGCTTGTATACACTGCATTCAGGACACACTGCTAAAATTGTTTCAAGGATTAATGAAACAGGAGAGAAATCTAATCCAGAATTATGGAGAAGAATCATGATCAAATCCTAAAAAATATAAATGATCCTAATGCCTCACTGACATATTGAAGAGTGTGGGCTAAAACATAAGTGAGACAACTGTTTTATGAAGATTTTAAGGTGATCTGCAGGTATCAAGCCTTAATCAGTTCTGGATATAAAGAGCTTTGCTGACAGAAGATGAAGCATTATCAGGCACATCCAGCTATATGGTAAATGATGTGAAGCAATGGATGTAAAACATCTGTTCTCCATGCATGCATGCATAAAGGCTGTCTACCTAGACCTACATGCTTAATTCACTCAAGATTGTTTCCAGTCCATATATGACATTCAGCATTGTGAGGTCTGTTCTTCTGCAGTGAGCTACTCTACAGGAACAGCTAGCGTAAATAGACTCAAATAGCAAATCCCTGTGAAGGAGAATGAGCAAAATCAACCAATTATGGCAGGCTAAATTATATGGAATTAGACACACAACAGAGAACAAGATATTATGCTTTGATACTATTGGCAAAAGAAGATACTTGTACCAGAAAAGAGAAGTAGAAGATAAGAAATCACACCAGTACTATTTTCTCAACAATTTTGTTTCAGACATTCAGTTTATTTTACTTGCCAGCCCACAATAATCTTGCATATGCACCTGTCTCAAGTTAACTAGGCAGCCACTGAAGACAGAAAGTAATCACTATTTTTCTTTTGCAATGGCTTATTTTGGATGATTTTAGGGTCTCTGTTGTGCACTGAGGTATCAATACTACTGCCTTTCTCAGTGTGAAAAATAAGACCTAAATACTAACTGCAGATGCATTACTACCCCACTAAATGTGAATAGATATCACACAAAACTGGCAGCAGATCCTTTTAAAGCAGACTTTTCATGTCATTTCAGACACTCAGTGACCACAGCAGCTCTTGCTCAGTATGAGGTCCCCATTCCTTGGTGAATCCTGTTGACAGTTCCTTTGAATGCCTCTTCCCATATGAGATGGCTGTCCTCACAATGACTGAGGCTCTCGGAATGTGTGAGACATCCAGCAACATATTTGTCTTTTAAGGAACAGATGAAGTAAAAGGTGGACTGAGAAAGTAGGAATGTAGAGTTCATACAGGCTGAGCAAGACACAGGAAATTGACACTACTGAGCACAGTAAACAACTATTTACTCTTTCTAGCTGCCCGTGTTTTTTTCACAAAATAGGCTTTAAAAAACACTGTAATTTTCTCCCATCTCTAATTAAGGAAGATTCAGTTAAACGACCAATGACTCTTCCTGATTATTGGAGGATTGGACTCCTGTTGGCCTTGTATTATCTTTTTCATTAGACAGAAAATAACTTTCGGGTGCAGAGTGAAGTCTGTCAGTAAATTAATCATACTTCTTATCTAAATTCAGGAGTTTCTATTCTTCTTTCTGTTTTTGATTTTTAAGTCCTAATGCAGCAATACTCCCTGGACTTTAATCAAGAAAGACCTTAAGCACATGCAGATGACCATGAGACTTAAAAATTTTAAGAACATCTTAAATGCTTTAATGCATTGGGGCTTTTATTGCCTTTAGGAATTGTTCAAAAGAGTGCAATCTATAGTCAACAGAGAGCAATTTGTGTGGCTTCTTTTGCATCATGTGCATCCATCCAGTGAGTAGACTGACTATTCCACACTGCATACTGTTTGGCTTGATTCTGGCTTAGTGTCTATACAATAAACCTTGGCCCTACTCTTCTGCTTCAGCAATACTATATGTGCCACCACTGCCTCATGCCACCCCTTCAGCACAGCACTCCAGCCTACAGCTTGCCCATGCTATGCAGGGTGACTGAACTTCCATGGACATAAGGTGAGAGTAGCTGAGGCTTGCTGAGATAGTATTTTGAGGACTGTCCCAGAAAGAAAGCATAGAACCTGGTCATGTGTGGACCCTTTTAATCTGGACTCTGTGTGTCAATCTTAACGATATCTGATTTTCCTTTTGGAGGAAAGTGTTTGGTTCAGTCTAGGTGAGACTGTGAATAATCATTGTATGTGCAAAGGGGGGAAAAGGGATGCCTTTGACCTATTTAAAACTAATGAAAACTGAAAGTTAATCAGATACTTAAGTATCAGATACTTAAGTGTTTCCTTGGTCAAAATTAGTACTTTGTTGAGAAGAGAGTCTAGGGGAAGTTGTATATCTACCAGCTGGTGGACTTTTTGATTAATTTTCCTGACAGTTCTGTTTTTTCTTTTTGTTTGTTTTTAACAGAAGTGATTTTTAAATGTTAGAAATCAATCAATATGATTTATACAAGATAGCTATTTCAGCTTTATCTTTTACTCCTTGCTTGGGCAAATCTTCCACCAGAGTTAGCAGATGATTTGGGAGATTCCTGTGCTAGTAACACAGGACTGAGGCAAGGGTGGAAGGGCTTGGGTAAAAAAACCATCTTATTCATGGATATTTCCCTTCTAATATTTGAATAACTAGCCAATTCTACCTTCAGACAACTGGTGTGAAATGCAGACTGCTTAGATATGTTCTTAAAAGGCACAGAAATTCCAATAAATTGATTAAACAAACCATGCAGTATTAATTTTAATTCATGGCACAATTGCCACAGAATTATACAGGTGATAAAACCATAGAGTTATGAGAAATAACTAGGGCTACAGACATCACCCTGCAGTTTTCATACTGGAATAAGTCAGTTCATTACTCTGTTGCAAACCTAATTAATTGGTAATCTTCTATGTCGCCACAGTCTCTACACAATTAACCGAAACCAATGGTCTTTGTACAGTTGAATAGTTCAGAGATTCGCTCATGTGGCAGTTTAGAGATCCAATCATGAGCCTTTCGCCTTCAGGTTAACAGCCCGAATTATGGTACAGACCACTCTTTGGCAACCTCTAGTAGATAATTCAGTGGTCTCAGTTTTTTCATTCCTGCTTTCAGCTCAGGAGGCAAAGAACCGACCTGGGACTCATCTGACACCTTCTGTGTACCAGTCTGTACAAATGAAGTATTGATACATGAGGGAACTCTTCATTAACAATCCTAAGCAAATTATTAGTAGGAAAATAATTTAATCATTGCAAATTGGCAGCAAAAGCAATTGTTTGTTATTATTTATTATTATTATTCTTTATTCTTACTCTTTAGTCTGTTTGGATCCAGATACAGAGACATGCTTGATAACAAAATTTGAAAGGTATATGGTGAACCAACTCTTATATATATTTATATATATATATATATATATAAATTTGGGATAAATTTCCTTTAGAACCTTGAAACTGTAAAT